AGTTTTCCTGAGGAGCTGCCGTCGATACCTCTGCATTGATCTGGCTCTCCTTTTTGGATGCATTCATTTCGGACATCTTTCGCTGCTAAAACGTCGTTTTTGAACGTTAGAACTGCGCGTTCAAAATTACCTGTAAAAGTGTGGTCAATTCCTGCGGAATTGGAGTGGGTGGTAATGGAGGAGGAATGAAAGGAATTTTCGTATGCCCGTTCTTTTGTTTAACCACGCCGAAGTAAGAACTTTTCAGATAGTGCTGCGGTAATAAATGATGTTCAGGGTTGCTCTCGGTTTTACCGCTTTCGTGCAACAGCGGCAAAAAATTGTTCCAGAAAGCCATTTCACTAGCTCGATAAAACCCTCCGGTTTGAGGCTGACGACCTATAATGAACAATTTCTGTAGAAGTTCTTTATTAACCATCGTTTACCGATCTTCAAATAGATTTCTCTTCTATTCGATAGAAACGAAAACCATTCAATTTTTTCAAATTGTTGCAAAACACCACTCGGTTCTTGTAAAGCTCGAATTCTTGTAGTCTTAGAAAATTCGCTAAAACCAGAAACATATTTAACCGCGATTGATGACGAACCTAGAGCTCTTAGGAGCAATTTATATTAAAAGTATGCAAAGCTAAATCGGTCGATTTCAAGGATGAGATCAATGCAAACGCGAAGAAATGATTGACATAATGGTTAAACGTCAGCTTATTCTTTTACTTGGGTTTATCGAAACCAGTGACCCGTAGTCCGGCAAGTATTAAAGCAAAACAGTGAAACAATGAAAGCAAACGTATTAATCCTTTCTAATGCCAGACGTAGTAAGTCTCTGATTTACATTTTTTTATGTAAACAAAACCGTTCTAAGAGGAGAGCAATTGCTTACTACTCTAATTGTTCGTTAATAAGCATTTCGATTTTACATTAAATTTTGCACAAAACTCCGCCGTTTGTCAGCCCAAACGCTGGATGAGAAATGAGAAGGTTGGAGACCGTGGTGAAGTCTCCCTTGAAACTTAGCCACTTGCCCTAATGGTACTGCCGTTATCGAAAATTATATCGGCTCGGTGGTTGCCCGATTTACAAAAGGTCGCGTAGACTGTCGGGGATTTGAGGGAGCCTGCGAAAAGTCGCAGATAGGGTTTTGCTTCACTCCTTCCGGCAGTTGTGGGTGTAGCAGAACAGCGATGGCTGCCGAAGATTAACATGAAAACAACGAAGATCGCAGTCAGCAACGCAGCCTTTAACTGTGCCGACGGGAGGAGGAAGACAGCGCGATGGCATCAGAGCAGGTCACATAAGATTCCACGGCTACGACACGGACAGTCGGAGATTACAGTCACAAATCAGAAGATCGTTTCACTCATAGGGAAAAACCTGAAGCTGGTTAATGTGGCCGCAAGGAACCAACTCAACATACTTGGACTTTTGTCAACGAAGTGCCAAGGCTCTGGAATTCTGAACTTCTGCGGATTGAAGGTATTTCTAATCACGTGTTCAGTTCAGGATCCGGGCTCAGACCGGTGCTGGTTTTCTAGTAGAACCAAACCTGACTGACAGAATCACTGGAATAATGAAAGCTTGTCAGCGAAGAAGTAGCAATCCTCCGACTAAAGTTATAACAGGCTAAATCTTTTACCTTATTACTGGTCTATGTGCAAAATTTGGAGACATATTATAAATCCTTCGTGGAGGAAGTAGAAGATGCACTGTGGGAAATGCCGACTACGGAATCTACCCTTCTCATGGGAAATGTCAAATCGCATGTCGGAGCAGACACTTAAAAGTGCCATGGCTTGATTGTGAAGAACGACCATGGCGACTTCAACAAAAACAGCAGAAAGCTTTCGCAATTTTGCGGAAACAACAAACTAACTATTATGACCACCTTCTGCTGGTATTGAATCGTTCTACGCTACACGTGGTATATGAAATCTTGCGCACAGAAGTCGATAATCGATTTGATAATTGCATCGTGTGACTTACGACTCAGTTTAGTGGACACTGGCCTTAAGAACTGAGCTCGCATCCGATCATCACCTTATCGTTGAAACCCTCTACTGCAAACGATGGAGTACCATACGAAGATCTAGCGGAAGCAGCAACCAAAGAATCAAATGGGAAGCATTATCCTCGAAGGATACGAGAGCGAAAGTTGCAAGCAACATCGCACGACTGTTTAAACAGATGTCGGTAGTGACCGCTGATGTGGAAACAGAGTGGAAGCTCTACAAGAGCGGTTTGCTCGGGGCTACCGCCAAATGCTGTGGTTTCAAACTGGTTGACCTGCTGCTTGAAAGTCAGTAACGAAATCCCTGGTGGACGCGTGAGGTACAACTGGCTGTCACCGAGAAAGTTGCATTCGAAAGATGACTTGGAAATAAACAGTCTTCAGCTCGCAAGCAGGTTGATGAAGCACGCAAAGTGTCAGCGAAAGCCAAAGTTGGTTCTTGGAAGAAAATCGGTGAGGTGCTGGAGTCGAATTTCCACATGGCAAACAAAGAATTCTGGCAGGCAATCCGCCTGCCCTGAGATGAAAAGAACGGCAATCTCAGTCTTGAAAGACAGGTCTGGACACCCTCTTACCAAGGATGAGGACATTTTTCGGCGAAGCAGCGACCATTGTGAGAAATTTCTTAGCCCCGAGCAACCGTAGGAAGACACGCTTCATCAGCAGGTCGTCGAAACTGACTGACTGGGAAAACCTAAATCATCTGATGAGTAAAATTAGAGCTGCTAAACAAAATGAATTACACATGCCTTTCTTAGTATAAGTATCAATTTCGATATCTTTTCACGTTGCTACAATGAAGTTATGTCTAATTTTGTACCTGGCGTTATACTTCTTATGTCGTTTCATGCGTTTGATATTCAAGTCGTTTCCAGAAACACTATTTACGACGAACAAACTGTAGGCAATAAAATGATGCGAGATGTATCAATGCACTGCGGCTGCTCAAGTGTCGTAGATATGTGGCGAGTTATGCGCATTTTCTTAAGGAATGCTTTTGGTAAGTTGTAAAAAACCATTAATGAGGCAGAATATTCAGTTTTGTTCAGTTTGGCAGATCAAGTAACAGAATTTAAGAAAGCGCATGTAATATGGACAAGACTTAGGAAATAAAAATAATGACGAGGCAAGCATCTAGATTACACCATGTCATCAAGACATTCGTGGAACGTGATATAGTAAAGATCGACCATAAGCGATAAGCAAACGTCATACAGGATCCGAAAAACAAAACTGAGTCAAGGTAAGAAGCATATATCAGCGAGAACACGCATGTGAAAAACAGCGAACATTAAAAATATTTATTCGCCAGCAGGAAGTTTTATAATACGTGAATAATACGGGATTTGATTGTTATATTATTCATTCGATTGTCACAAGACGCATAACTCGCTAAAAAACAACTTTCACAACTACACCACCTCCTTGCTCCTAATTGCTTGCGAGCTAGTTAAGCAGACCACGACTCCATGGTACTTGAGCATCGGAGTGCCAGCTGCATCTCGCATTATTTTGTTCTTTAGAGCCACCTTGCACTCATTACGAAGTTGGTACTCTTTATGTGCTACTGTATAAGCAGCCATGCGTCTAGCACAAGATTTCTTTCGAAGAGCACTAAATGATTTGAAACTGATGACGACTGGCCACATCTGAAACGTCTGAGGGAACGTTTCTTCATTGCATATGTAATCTAAAGCATTTCTGTGTATGTGAAATGAATGATTTGGTGTTTGATAGCGGTCAGGCGTAAATATTCTTCCTTGAAGAACCATCTTCGGGACTTTAGGAATGTAGCAGAAATCACGATAACATTGCTTCAATGACTTAGAAGACTTACCAATTTCTAGTGCTGTTCGGTTGTTGTAGTCTTGCTAAAACCGTCCCTTCATTAACATTGGACCTAGATGGCAGAGTGATTATATTGTGGTACAGTGTGTACTTCTTAACCATTAAAGTAACCGCTTATGTCCGTTAAAGAGGCTGGGATGGCATTTTGCGACATCACAAAAAGCAGAACACATAACTGACCTTGCACAGCTAACATATATCCTGATCTTGCATGTTTAACCAGTCAGTCATCACTGGGGCTATCAAGTTGTTAATGACATATGGGGAATTTACATATCATGGACTTATATATGACTATATCAGTCTGATAAAATCTTTAGGTAAGTCACAAACGGGAAGACAGCGCATAAAATAGTCTTTAATTAGGGACATCTGACGTTTCGGACCAAGCTCGGTCCGTTCAGAGTGCAATATATAAGTACATTGTATATATATATAACGAATTATCATTTACCGGTTCTCAAGAGCCCCGAACCTTTTTGAAACACAATATTGCATATCAGATTGACATACTTCATACTATATATATATGTGTTTCAAAAATATATTGTGTTTGTATTGTGTTTCAACACAAAAATATTGTGTTTAAAAAAGGTTCGGGGCTGTTGAGAACCGGTAAATGATAATTCGTTATTAAATATGACGCATTAAGGTTTCCACCTAATACGTGACTAAGGATGAGTGTATAAGTCTTGTATAATGTTAATGTTTAATTATAGTCAACGCATGCACGTGTAAGGTTCTTAATTTACTTTGCATTTACTCTTAAATTAATAGTCTAATGCATTTAAATCAGAAGCCTTTCAGACCCTAATTTATTCTGCGCCCCTAAGAAAGGTACCAACTTAAAGGAAGACTCCTCTGAGATAATAGGAAATGGTGCTTAATACGTATCTAAAAGTAACACTTACTTACAATACAGATATTACGATCGATATCGCACAGATAATCGTGCAACTACACTAACAACTTTGTACCGGAATAATGCACCGCTCCGTGCACTCCAGCGAGCACTCAAACTAGGGTTCAGCAGATCTGCATCGCCATTTTATAACTTGACGTCTTATTTCAAACTATAAAAAAAGCTGACAAAGTTTCCGCACAAACTTTTCGTCGTAGTATTTCTGCTTTGCTTGATTAATTCTACTCCCAGCGGAATGTCGGTTTAAGTCAATTAATTCGGCAGAAAGAGAGGGCATGAAAATTAAATTTACATAATGGCATGAAATCAACATCGATCTCATGTTCGTCGTCGTTAAAGCAGGACGGCTTAAGTTCGCTTAAATTCAATTAGCTTAACCAGCAGGAATGCAACAACCTCGAAATTACAACTACCAACTTGTAATTTCACGTTTCTAAACTCATTTACAATGCAACAACCACGGTGAACATTAACACGATTTACCCGGTTTTTACGAACGTTGATATGTAGTGCATTAGCACTTGACTCAGCGCCCTCTCCTCATCCGCGAATTTCAGGCCAAAGGCATCGAATTCGATCGTCGGGCCGTTCTGGAAGAACGGGTAGCCCAAAATGTACGGCAGGTCTTCGAGGTGGACAGAGCCTTTCAGGCCGTACCTTTCATAATCCTCTGTTTCGTGCGAAAAATAATACATATACGTATTGCCGTATTGACTGCTGCCACCTTTAATGGCTTCCTTAAACAAAACAGAACATTAAAATCTATCTGTAATTCAGTGCGTGGCTAACTCGACTGAAATAATATCCTTCACGCTCGA